TGTGTGTGTGTGTGTGTGTGTGTGTGTGTGTGTGTGTGTGTGTGTGTGTGTTTATCGACATGGAAGACTGGGTTAGTGTCAGCTTTGGTAAATGGTTATGTCCAGAACTATTTAAACGTTACGTTGGGCTTGGTATGCAGTAAGTCAATGGGAATGGTGTGATGGAGGCCATTTAATCCTAACGTAGTTCGGGTGCTGTTTCGTTCATGAACACTGACGTAGCCAAGCGGGCGAACGAACATCCACGATTCGGAATTCTAGCAGTTTTCTTTTCTTCCTCTCTCCCTCTCTTTTTTAGCCTCTGGTCTTATAGCATTTTACCGGAAAAGCACACATTCTCAGGGAGAGGAGGGGGATGGTGGCTCTGCTACAAAACAGATGTTGGCTCAGAGGCATGCATTCCGTAAATAGACAAAATGGTATTTCAACGAAACCATAAACATAAACAAATAATATTTCTCGTGGCCGGAATCGATTTTTGACCCAGTTCGGGTCAAATACGGTCAGCTGGCAGCTATGGGCCGACCTGACTTGAGTAACCTGTGGCGTAATCTTGACCCAGTGACCTTAAAAAAATTCTATTTTTGTTCGCAGTATTCCTGCGCTATTCCATGGACGGGTCAATTTAACCCTCAAGAAGTTTTCAGACTGGTATGATAATGATTAGTTCCATTTTGCAAATAAATCAAAATTTATTTGTTTTGAACATTTAGGATGGAACGCAAAGCAAGAAAAGAATGAATTCAAGTTTTCACAAACTGACTCTATCGGCACACCAAGACGCCTATCTCACAACCCTGAATTTTATCGTGGATTTAGTCTTCATAACAAAACCTATACAGACACCCGAAAGGTCTGTTCTCCGCTAGTCTACGTTGTTTTTTCGTTTTTTAATTTTAAAAAAGCCAGGCCTGGTCTATACCTTAAGAAATTTCAGGGCTACCTCAAAATCTATCAAAACCGCGATTTGCTCGTCTGTGCTCCTCTCTTTCTAGGGCTGGGATTCTGCTCACTGTTTGTTGTGCCGCTTGCCGCGTGTTCTGCTCACATTATGCAAATCGTTGTTCATTATGTCGCGACGTGTCTTTTCTCGCAGGCTATTGGATGGTATTTTCGATCAGTGCTCTTTCTTTGTATGTTTGTTCAGACTAGACATAAGAGTAAGAAATACTGTACGCAATACCCGACCTTTATGTTCATTTACATGCTAAGACCGGAGATCCATTCACTTGGGACTAGATTTATAGTTGCGAGTTCAGTTAGTTGACCGCATTTCAGTCCCGAGTTGTGATGGCCCTTGGTAAAGGGCGAATTATGTTTAGTAATCGTCTATGCCAGGTAGAAGAACTCGTATTTCCTTTAGCTCTTTGATAAATCTGCTAAAATATTATTTCTGTACATGAAACATCTCTATTACTCCATCAAACTGAAAATCCTTTTGCTATTACTTCCTCAGTTAGTGGAACCTGCCTCCCCTATTGGGCGATCTGATTTTAATGACAACACGGCGGAAGCGGACGACGATATCGAGGTGTTAGAAGGCCCTGAGGTTGAAATAGGTTCATACGAAGCCAGCGACGACGAAAAGTTGGACGACATGGATGATTCTAGCGATGTCAACGATTCCGCACAGATTCCTGATCCATTACAGTTCAGTCTTTTCAACGAAGGAAGTGATATCTTCGAAGTTGAGAAAATAATTGCTGGACCCCTTCGGAGGAGGGAGCACCTCGTAAGTTCAGTAACCTCTCGGTTAAATTTGGCCTTTTCAACTCGTTCGGATGCAGAATTAGGTCTGCTGTCTGAGGTCTGCGTTTCAAGTTTTACCCGGCGAGAGCTAAGGTCTCGCACGTAGACCACTGCATTTAGCCTAACTTTTACGTTTTATGGTTCTCAAAATGTGCAAGGTTTCTGCAGACACGGACAGTGTTTGATACTCGGATTGTTAGTTGCTGGCTCGCTAGTCTCGCATTGTCAGGGACTAGAATCTAGATCTAGATCTAGAGTCTAGATCTGCAATCTAGACTCTGCGTTTGTTGGTGCAATTTTCCCTTTCCCTTTTTTGTCCTTTTCAAGCTAGAAAGTCTTTTAATCATGTTAGAATTAAAATGGTAACTAGAGTCTAGATGTAGATGTAGATCTAGATTCTAGATCTAGATATCTAGATCTACTGATTTGTGCATCAGAGAGGTCAGAGAAGCAACTGCCAACAACTAGAAAAGCTAAGAATTGAGAGTTTATGGATCTGGTCTGTCATGCTAATTCAGCCAGTTGATAAAAACTTGGCCTAGGCTAGGCCTTTGCTTTTGATTTAGTTATTATAACCTTGTTAAACATGAAGAGAGTAGACTCTAGATTATCTAGATCTAATCTAGATCTAGGACTACACTGACAGTTAATTTGATTTTTTTTTTAACGGAGTGTCTACGTACTCGGTAACTGGGCACCTAGTGTAGCCTCAGTGTCTATGAACACAGTAACCGACAACCAGGCACGTAGTCTCAGTGTCATGTACATGGTAACCGGGCAGGTTGCCTCAATATCTACGTACACTGTAACCGGGCATGTAGTCTCAGTGTCATGTGCACGGTAACCGGGCATGTAGCCTCAATATCTACGTACACGGTAACCGGCCACGTAGTCTCTGTGTCATGTACACGATAACCAGGCGTGCAGCCTCAATATCTATGTATACGGTAACCGGCAACCGGGCACGTAGTCTCAGTGTCACATACACGGTAACCGGGCAGCTCAAAACTCCCAAGTTCAGTTTTTGTCATCCGGTGTAGCCTTCATCCCCACCCCTCCCCCTATTGTACCTTTAAAAAAATCAATAATCCCCCATTCCGGAACCCTGTACTTCGCAACACACAGGCTTTGAATGAACTTTGGTGACCCCCAAGCGGTACTCAAAATGTGATGCGCACGCACAATGGGTTGAGATTGTTACCAGCACCATTTTAGCTCAAAAGCAGTTTCGACAAAAATAATTTGTCTAGCTTGGTTTCAATTTATATTCTTTTCATATATATGTATATATATATATATATATATATAAATATATATATATATATATATATATGTGTGTGTGTAAAATTATAAATGTTTGCAACCTATTATTACCCCGTTGTTTTTGCAGCAGTATGATATAAATGAAGATGTAGATTTGCTTTGAAGTACTGGCCTACAGGAGTCTTAGTTTTTATAAAAGCTAATGATGGTACTGACGGTACTGTGTGGAGATTTCTATTTTTTCATCTGGGTTACAATAGTCCTCATTAAAACTGCTCCTTGGTGATGGTTATCATCATGCTGACTCGTACTCATAAAAACAAGAACTAAACTTTGCTATTGCCAATTTCTTAAATTGAGAGTACTTGATTTGCTTTGCCATGTTTTATTTGGTCACTTTCAGGACTGTATTTTTGTATCATGTATTTATAAAAATATCTTTGAGTAATAATAGTTTCTGAGAATAGCTCATATTGGCAAACATTCTGTCTCCCGTATTGTACTATATTTGTGGGTGGTTGGCGGGTGCTCTCTTGTGGTTTGTTCTTTCCTATCGAACATCTCGTCTTTATCTCCCCTCTTTCTTTTTTGTGTTTGTTACTCTCTTGTAACACCTCTAATCTTCGGCACTTATATGACCTTATTGTGTTGCAAGTGCCATAAAATACTTACTAAAACAAACACACTATATTCATGTTATATATGAGCCATGGTGGTGAAATCAGACGCTGGTCATAATAACAAAATCGGAGAAACAGGCTTTTTTCCCTCAGTTTGGCAATTTTTATTGAATTTTTCTTTTTTGTGAAATCCCTTTCATGTCCATACAAGAACACATTTCAATGTGAATTTTACTGAAAAAAAAGTTGATTAAAGGCGCAAAATATGTCATTTTTCAGTTTTCTATCATGACTCTTTACTTTAGGTATTGGACTTACCAAACTTTGGCAGCCATTTTCTCACTTATTTCACACTGAAACCAGGCAACCTCACCTTCCATTGCAAATATCTTGACTTCTATTCAAGTTACATGCATATTTTTAAATTGAAAGCAAAATAAATGAATGTAAGTTTTCAGATGATACCAATAACTCCTCATGCCCAAAAATTGACAGTGCCTGATTCCACCGCGTCGTGAAACGTATACCTTGATAGGCTTGAGCTCTTTTCAGTGAGGAAAAATATCTATTTAAATGTTTCAACTTGTAAAAATTTGGTTGTATGCTTTTTGGGTGCTTATTTTTATTTATGTTGTTCCCATTTATGGGTTACCTTTTTTGATCCTCTTTTTAGGGTAAAGTATGCTACAAAGTGAGATGGAAAGGCTATGGACCTGAGGCAGACACATGGCAACCCAAAGCAGACCTGGTGTATGTTCAGGACATGATCGAGGAATACAGGAAGGAGAAAAGCCAACAGTCAAAGCTTAAGAAGAGAAAGGTAAAGTAGCTCAGAAAACTCGGATGTTTCATGGAGGGGAGGGTTGGGGTGTAAATTTGCAATGCTTTGCAAAATAGATATATCAAATTCTCATCTTTTCCAGTCTCGCTTCTCTAAATCTTTAGTTAAATTCATGGTTCTTGTATTAAATATTTAGATCTTTTATTTACAGTAATTTTAGTTTTAGAGTAAGTCATCATGCACCTTATGTTACTGCCGCCTAGCACATATGATCACTGTGTGGGACAATAATGAAATACATTGGAGGGGGTAACAAGCGACCACTATGAAACAGAGTTGAATAGAGGGGTGGGGCTAAGGGTAAGGGTTAGGTCTCTTCTTAATTGTAATATTTGTTGGTGTATGCGCTTGTTACGGAAGTCCTGCCCAGTGGAGCTTTGTTTTCTTGTTATTTACAGCCTTTGAAAAAAAAGTTTGTACAAAAGAAGCAGTGCTTTAGGGACATTTTGAGTTTTTTACCATTGCTGGGCTTATTATTTTTATAATCATGTAAGGACTGTGAACTGGCGTCTGTGGTGTAGCGGTTAAACACTTCGTTGGCGCACGCAGGATTCCAGAGTGGGGAGAATTTTTATAGAATTATATATATTCCTGGTCTTTGTTTGGGGATGTTGTTCCCCTCTTTGTGTGTGTTGGCTCCGCCTGCTTCTTTAATGATCTAAATTGTGTTGATAGGGGCGTAAAAAACATATTTTTTTGCTTAAAGAGAGTGTGTGAATGAAAAAAATCCCTTCTGTAATTGTAGACTTGATAGTGTTTGTCATTGAATTACTTCTTTTAATATTTTTAAGGTACTAATGACTAGAAAATTTGAAAAAGAATCTCGAGACAAGGTAGTACAAAAGTATATTTGTATTTTCTATGCAGTCACACCTGCTGATCAATGTGGATGTCTTTTAATTTTTTCAGACTTCACCTGCCACCAATTCTAAGGAGAATGGGTTAGAGGTAGAAGCTAAGAGGATGAACATGGCATCTAAACTTCCAAGTCAGGATTCTGATGATTCGGACAGTGAGAGATCATGGCACCCAGACTATGGATACATGAAGGATACATTCTGGAAGGATTTGGAGTTGGGCCGTCACACAAACAACACAGAATTTTTTGAAGGTGACATGTACTCTAAAGTGAAAGGTTCGCGACGAGCCGCTCATGCTGAAGCTGTAGCAAACATCCAAAAGCAGCAGCAGCAGCAGCAGCAGCAAGCCCAGGCCAAAACCAGTACCCCCACAAGTCGTCCAAAAATATCCGCATCAAAGTCGTCGGGAAAAACACACGTACAGCGTGGAATGTCCAAGTCTCCCAGATATTCATCATCATCGTCTTCCAAATCCCCTTCACTTTCTCCCAAAGCTGGGAAGGCCACAGCGCCAAAAAGCAGGAAACGTTCCAGTAATCCTTTTAGTGCCCGTGGCTATATGTCTTCTAAACGAAGTCGGCGGTCCAAGGAAGTTAAGGGTTCCCCTGGTAGTACTTCAGAAGGGAAACGATCTAGTGTTACCTCAGAGACTGTGGGCATTGTGACAATGTCTGATGCTGGGCGAGATGTGCTAAAAATGAACACAAGCAGTGAAGATTCTTCTGACTTGGCCCAAGTTGAGGACGACGTAAATGAAGTTTTCAGAAAGCCAGAGGGTGTGAAGACAACAGTGTCATCAGAGACAATGCTGGCGACCTCATCAGAAACCACATCAGCTGTTGCGATTGGTAATTTGGAATTGGAAGAGGATGTAATCAAACCTGAGGCCCTGTTCAGTCTTGAAACAGGTGAGTCTATAAAAATAATTTTTTTTTTTAAAAACTTTCTTAGGTATAAAGAGGTGTATAATTGTATATTTAGATCCAGGTTGACACGCCCAGGTATTGGTTGTATGATGTTTCCTTTTAATCAAATAGTTTTGTAATATGTGATGTGTGTAAATATTTTGTCCGGAGGGGAAATATTAGTCCAATGTCCAATGAAAGCAAAACAGAGAAGAGGAGGATCAGCAAAGAATTATAACTAATACTACTCCCTTCAAGCACCAGATCATTCTATATATTTTATGTGGTTGGTTTAGCCATGACAAAGAACTAGTAAGTAAAATGTCTTTACTTGTTTGAAGTGTACAAATATAAAGTATTAAAATCCTGTTCTTGATTTTGAAAAGAATTTATTGGGGAATGTTTTATTTTTTAAAGTTCTTATTTAATTCTTTCTCTCTCTCTCTCTCTCTCTCTCTCTCTCTCTCTCTCTCTCTCTCTCTCTCTCTCTCTCTCTCCCTCTCTCCCTCTCTCCCTCCGTCCCTCCCTCCTTTTAACGTTTCAAAATCAAATATCCTTTTTCTTTTTCAGATAATGTTTTCCAGCCTCCTGTTTCTAATAGTGAGGATAGAACTGAGATTGCCTGTCGGAGCCGAGATACTTCCCAAGCTTCAAGAAGTTTAACAGTTGGGGCGTCTTCAGGCCAGTCTTTCAACAGTAGTATCCCTGACTCGACATCGGATAATAACAGTGATATTCAGAAGTCCACTCTCAATGCCCGGGCTGAGACAAGTGCCTCTGTTGAGAGCACCCATAAGGACGTTTGTTTGTGGGGTGGTGCATGCAACAGGTCGGACTGTAGAGCCAACCGAAGATGGAATAATAAAAATGGTTCAGGCGATGAGGACAAAGATAAGAACAATGAGAATACTTCCAGCCCAATTGCTCACCCCAGTTCTTCTCAGCCATCCACGACATCGTCTGGAGAATCAGCTTCATCGTCCCACTCCTCCTCATCCTTGGAGACTGAGTCTCCACAAAAGCCTCGCCACAGAGAGTCAGGTTCCTCGATTACAAGCTCGCCTCAATTTTCACCTTCCCCGGTAAAGAGGTCTAGTTCATCGTGTACATCGGCCGACTCTCCCTCCTATCGTGTGGTTGGAGAACAGCAACAGAGCCTTCTCTCCTCAAGGTCCTACAGCTCAGACTCCAGCTTCGACGAAAGTGTAGGCCCCGCTCTGAGCCGGGATGTTGTAAGTAATTCATTTGGTCGCATGGACGCTCTTGCTGAGCGAATGCACATGGACACTCTGGCCAGTTCCTCTCTCACAAGGGGTTCTTCCCTTTCAAATGTGAATAGCAGTGTGGCTACCTCTGAAAGGAGTAGTGCGTCACATGGAAGTGCTGGGACGAGGCGAGCAGCTGATACTGGTGAACGCCCTGGATTATTTAGCAATTCTTTCAGCTTTCTTACTCGGGGCCATAGTACCGGTCTGGATACTGAACTACTTACTTCCTCGGATATTCTTTCTCATCACAGCTCACCTGGGAAAGAGAATACAGCGAACATTGATAGAAATCAGTCTTCGTCTAGTATGTGTGTCCACAGTGCCAGAGTGGAAAGACCAATGGAAATTTCTAACATGGATACTGTTTCCTCGTCATCCTCTGTCTTCTCCCAACCACCCCCAGGTATTGGTATTAGTCGAGCCCGTGCACAGGATAGTCAAGATAGTTGGTCATCTCGTAAGAGAACTGGAGATGGATCACAGCCTTTGGAAAAAATCCCCTCACCTAATTCCAGGAGAGGTATGTAAATTCTTGATTTGGTAATGCAAAATAATCTCTGTATCACTTATCCATCCATATGATTAAAAATTTCAAACTGTTCTAAAATATGGAACTCTGGATGGATAATAATGTAACAACAATAACATAAAATATGGAGCTAACTTTTTATATATCCGTAAAGAGTGATATCACTAGAGTAGTCCCCGACCAGAAATCTCATTTGTAAATATGCAAGCATACACACTGGCTGTAAATGCCTCTATTGACATTGACCTCTATGAGAATTAGTCGCCTGAGGCTTTTATTTTCTAGTCTTTGTAATGAACATATTCGGAACATTTTTTCTGGCTTTTTGCAGTAGTGTCACTTACACTTATAAATGCTACATTGCTGACATTAACTAACTTAACAATCATTGTCAAAAACACTGAAGGTTACAAAAGTGGTGTAGAAGGTGGTTTGCAGTTTTATTACCTCACAGTCACAAATTCAAGCAAGTTTTGCGGAACACATTTTGTATAGATTTGTCAGTCACATACGACTCAGTTCTCAGGTGTTTAAATTCATGTGGACCATTTTCATTTCTTAAATTATATTAGTATTTCTAACAAAAGCAACATTGAAACAGCACTGTACCATCTCCACACAGTTTTTGACACTCATCCTGGAAAAGCACAGAGTAGTATGATTTTCACTGACTCACTATCAGTCTTGCAAGTGACAGAAAATGACCATCATGTAAACGAAGATTTTACACACATACTTTTTTTTGCTCCCATCATCTGATGACATTCTGTGGCATCAACCTAGTAATGCAGTGGGTCCCTGGACACTCAAACATACCTGGTAATGACAGAGCAGACACGCTTGCCAAACGGAGATCTAGACAGGATAGGAACAACCCAACATTCCAACTTCATACAAAACTTCAAAACAAATTATTAAAAGAAACAACAAACAGGATTGGATGAACAGATGGGCCCTGGAGATATATATATATATCTCTCCAGGATTTTATATATATATAAAACTTTCACTCGAACAGAATAATCCAGAATTTCCCCCAATGTGTCCCTTGTGTGACTATACAAATGAGATTGGATCATCACCTGCTCCACTGCACAGCCCAAAATGACATCAGACAGAGCTACCCTTCTCCCTCTGAGACCTAACATTGACAACACACTGTATGGAACTTAACGGCAACTGCAGCAAACTTGCACTTATCACTACATACTAGTATCATACTTATACTACATGGCATTGGTTGGGCAGACGGGTAAGAGTCCAGCTGTTGCTGGATCAGTAACAACAACAACAACAAAAGAAAAGATACAATCTCTCGCCAGCGTTCCCCCACAAATGATGTTAATAAAAGTCACCCTGAGTGCATGGCCCCTTGCTGCATGCATGGGTGGATGTGTTTTCAGTGTGTGATTAGGTAATTGATGTGGTTGTCAATGAAAATGAATGTGTATGCATTCGCACAGCTTAGCCATCATTTTATAAGTCCCTATATGGATTGTTCAGTGTTATTTTATTTTTGCTCACATCTCATGCTTGAGGTGTTGCATAGCCCTTTCCTTGTTCATTTTTATCTGTTTTACACAATATATTGATTTTATTTATACCCATCGCAAATTAAGTTTTTAAAACATTTGAAGGTTGTTTTTTTATTCGAGCTATTCTATACTTGCTTAGCATTATATTATAATTGTGTAGTAATTTCTCCACTTTACACCAATCCGCCTGAGGTTAAGAAAATCTGAGGCGTTAAAGGGGGGCATTTCCCCCTGTTTATACTCGCAATTTTTGGTTTTGCTATTAGGTTTGAGATTAAAGAGATGAAATTATTGATTTGTCACAGTTTTAGTGGCCAAATGTGTGATTTGTAGCAAAAAAGTACGGCCATTGACCCCCAAAAGCTGTGTGCATCCCACTGCAGAAGAGTGATAATTAAAATTTAACAAATGTTCTTACACCGGAAGGAACTGATCGGATTAATGCATTTTCACCTCCTCAACGGTTTAGAGTTAATTGGGCTCTGACTCTGTTATTGGTAAATCATTTCCACATGGTATGTATACAATTCTGAAAATGTTTCTTGCTGGAGCTTGTTTAACCTTATTCGTATGTCGTGTTATTCTGTCGTATCCATACGACGTGGGGAACTCGGTGCCACCACTTTTCAAAGAGGAAATTTACTCGTTAATCCGATCCATATGCTTTGCATAGCAGTCTGTCAAAATGATTTTTATAAGAAATACTGAGTGTCAAAGAGATCTTCACACTAGTAAGTATTCTCTAAAATGTGAAGAATACAACCCCGGGGGTACAAAATGACCCAAGGGCGTACTGATAGGGTTAAGAAATAAAATGGGAAAGGTGTTGCAGTACAGCAGTGCTGAAAAAAATTGTGCATCTTCTTTTAGATAGGCTTAATGCTGTGTGTGCTTAATTCGGAGGAGTGGTTGGTAAACACATTTCCGATTTTGTTTTTACCTCGAAATTAGCTCATAGACTTAATAATATGTTGTACTTTTGCGTTTGTGTCAGTACCTGTTACTTTCATTTGATAACTTTTACTTTACTGTTGAAATAATTTAAGGCAGAAAGCTTTGACTTTCCTGTGCTGGTTGCTAGGTCCTAATTGATCTATCTCTATATCTAGAGTCTATATATCTAGTTTCTAATTCTTGTCTAGATCTAGATATATCTAGATCTAGATCTAGATTCAAGATCTATCTCCACCAGTATACAGAAATACAGATGAATATTATATATAGATTTGGACAGAAAAAATATACATGTAACTGCCAGAATGAATACACATCACGTAATAATATTTGTGCGAACAGTTTCGAATTTTTATTTTTTAGCATGAAAAGTGAAGATTCTAGCACGTTAACTTGATCGTACCGGTCCGGCCGGTCAGTAAGATAGATCTAGCCTCAGGTGGTTTGAGTTCATTTTCTGTGTGGTGGCGGGCGGGTGGCGGTCAGTTGTTGACAGCTTCTCAAGTTGTGTCTGTTGTCCATCGCGTCCTTTCAATTCTTCATCACAGATTGTGATCAACAACTACCTCTGATGAGCTTTAAAATGCGGTCACATGGTACATCTCTAGATCTAGATCTAGAATCTATTTTCTCATGCTGTTCAAAGTTTTTCAAATAAGTTTTTCGTTATTTCTTTTTTGGTTTGGTTTGGCAGTTTGGCCTTTATGATCTCTCCTGTGGGCCCTCTAGATCTAGCTAGAGTCGAGAGCAAGAAGCAGAACATCTAGATCTAGACGTCTCTAGAGTCTAGAGTCTAGATTTCTAGATCTAGATCTAGAAATCTAGATATAGATGTATTCTAGACTCTAGAATCTAGATCTCTAGACAGTCTAGATCTAGAAGTCTAGAGTAGATAGAGATTTTTATAGATCCAGAGAATCTTTCATCTTTGACTTTGGTAGAGTGCCAGGCGTGGTCTCACAGAGGCACACTTGGGCAACTTGGATGGTGGTCCTGACTTTTGTGTAGGCTGTAGGCCTACTGAAATATCGATACTGATTTAAATAGTCGGTATCAATTTTTTTATGTTTTATTTGGTTGGTAAATTTTTACTTTCACTCCCGCACACAGATGCAGTTTCAAGGGTCAAACTGCAGTACTGTTTGCTGCAGATCACACATAGCCATTAAAACTGTCGCAAATCAATTATTTTCATGACAATTTCAAATCTAACTGTAAAATATCACATTATGGATAAAAACAGGGGGGCATGCCCCCCTGTAACACCCCAGATCCCCCCTGTAACCCCCCAGATTTTCTTTTACCTCAGGGGGGCAGGCCCCCCTGAAACCCCCTGATTGAGAGCATCCGAGTAAAGGGATGAATGGAAAACCATGATCGCCGATGTCTGTCACAGATCTGGCACTGGATGATGATGAGTATGGTGGAGAGCAGGAGTGTCGAACTCAATCGCTCATGGGGGCCAAATTCAAACTAAATCTACTTTTAAGATTGCAGGCCAAACTGAACTAAACATAGAACTATATGTCATAGTCATTGGAATAAAACAGACAGATCATATGGTTAAAATGTGAAACAAAACAAGACGTACCAATTTTCACTCTAACATATATGTATGCCAATTTGTCAGAGCTGGATTTTTGGCACCTTTTATAAATTTTCTTGGTAACGCGTTTGTTAATGTTTTGGGTAATGTTCTACTTATGGTTCTCTCTAAATTCTCCGAGGGGCAGGATATAATTGTGTATCCCAAGATGGATTGTAGTCCATTGGTCTTGAGTTTGACACCTGTTGTATTGGATGTGCGTTTAAATCTCCCTTTTTTTATGTGTTTCTGCAGGAGCTGACTTAGATAGGAGGATCAGCACACTGACCTGCGATGAACTTGAGGACTTTCCAGAACAGGTGAGGAAAAGTCAGGTGTACTTCATCATTGGTTCTAAATCCCTGTCAACACGTTAAGGCTATTTGATATATATATATGTTTTTGTGGAAATCCGAATTTGTAGTCTTTTTCTCCAGTAAAACTGAGCTAAGTGGGTGGAGAACTCTGATGACTGACTGAACTACTTCTTGTCAAAGAATGCTTGCATGGGGATTCAAAACAAGGTTGTCTATGTCGTAGTCACACTTACTACTAATGAGGTATACCTTGCCTTGTTTAAATTTCTTTGTTTCTTTTAGTCTATTACTCGGAGGGTTTTTGTCCCTTTTTTTGTTTTTGGGTGATCACTGGCTTTGTCAATTTACTTTCTTTTTTGTCTCGTCAATACAGTTTTGCTTACGTTTGATTCAGTTGTATTTTTATGCTGTTCCTTTAGCCTGGCTCTTTTCCATGTATTCCATAATATAATGCTCTTCTTTTCTTTTTTCTTTCAGGGTGATGATTGTTATGGTAGTAACAAAGTAACAGGCTTTGTAACAAATGGTAAGTGCAGATGAGCTTTTTCTGTTATTTCTGGAACTGGTACTACAATCTTAAATTATGTGCATTTCTCTTCTCTTTTTTTTGCAGGTTGTTTTTCTTAAACACATTTTTAAAGAATCTCTGTGGATAAAGCTTTTCTGTTTTTAACATTTAAAAAAATGAAAAATCAGAAAAATGTAATTGTACTTTTGAAAAATTCTTAGTCTTCTTAATGAAACTGCTCACAGAACAGCGCTTTCCGCGTGACAATTTCAGCGTTGTTAAAGTTAAAGTGGGCAAGAAAACTATGGGGACTGGGTTTAGAACCACGCTTCAACCAGTGGAAGTTTCTCGATAGAGTTGTTCTGGGGGGTGGAGGTGCATGGCTAAGTAATGACTGTCAGTGGGTTGGCTTGTTTATTCTCTTGAAATCAAATAAAAACTTCACTGAATCGTTGTGTTTTTTTGCTCACAGCCGACCTTCTTCAAGCTGTGAACCTTGGCAAAGCTGAAGTGGTAAAACGAGCTATTCAACATTTGGCCAGTGGTCATAGGCTTGATTTTGAGCAGCCTGATAACAACGGTGTGACATTGCTCATGAAAGCTGTGCAGAAAGGTATGCGAGTCTGTTTTAAAAAAAAATTATTAATGACCAGATATATTGTGTTAAGTTTAACATCGTTGGAAGTGCTCATTTTCGTTGGATTTTTACTTGTTTTTAATCATTTTTCATTTTGAGATTTGGTGTTGATGTTGTCATTATTTGAAGTGATTTTAGTCTTTGCACTTAAGAACATTAGATGTTTGTACTTGTACAGTAGTTTGTTTTAGTCAAATTTTGGGGTTTTATTATTAGTGTGTCCCCATATCATTGTCTTATCTACATTGTTTTATTGTGCAGAAGATTTTAAATTCAGACATGCATTTTTTTTTCATCAAGCAGATTTATGTACCATGTCTTTTTAAAGATGTGCTATCTTTATATTCTGTTTTCAGGCAATTTAGCAGTTGTGGAGATGTTACTAGAAAATGGAGCTAATGTAAATGCCCAGCAAGTCAGTGGGATGACTGCCCTAATGATGGCAGCAGAACAGGTGATGAATGTTGCTCATGCACGTTGCCACTGATGAGTTTTGGGACTTAAATCTCTATTGTGTTGCAAGTGCAGTAAAACTCTTACTAAGCTAAACTAAACTTAACTTTGATCTCTCAGTCTCTCAATTTGTTCCTTTCGCTTTCCATATGTAGCATTTTTTAATATTCATCTTTTTTCTTCTTTATGTCGTGGAACATTTTTATGTTCATCACCTTTGGATAGTCAGAACGCAGCCTGGCCTGATACGACTCTTTTAAGTCGCTGTGTATCGCTTATAAACAAACAAGGAATGACAATAACAGTGATTAGCTCACTGAGATGATTGATTATTGAGTGAAAAAATAGTGGAAGTTTAAATGTTTAAGACAGTTGCTGTTAATTTGAGCTGAAAATTCGAGCTGAAAAGTAAAAGTGTAGAAAATGTTTCCCCGTGAATATTTTTTTATCAGAGAGATATTTTGTGTTAGTTGTGTAGCTTTGATAACATCACTGTTCATTTAAAAAAAGTGTATTAAGGTGAAGATCTCCAGATGGTCAAGTGAAGCAGATTTTTGCTGTATAATTGATTTCTATGCGCACCATCTTCAGAGTGGTTTTTCTTTTGCTGGGTTTGAAATGGCATTTTCACAGGGATTATGAAAATGAATTGTATTTTTGAAAACACAATGAAAAAGTTGTGATCTGCTCTAAGTTAAAAGAAAAATACTAGGTGTTATATGACTGGGGATTTATTAATATCAGGACGAAATGGACTTGATGTAAGAAAATTGTGATGAGTTTAAAAAAGCAATACCCTGGTGTTGATTTCTTTTTTCTTTCAAAAGATTATACACTTGTGGGCTTTTTCCATATCTTGTAATGAGTGAGATGTGGTCTTTACGTATAGGTTTGTGTGTACTCAACAGAATGGCGTGTGCTTGGTGACTCTGCTCTTGAAGCATGGTGCCAACAGCAGCTTGTATACTGTGGGCTCTGACTGTGCAGAGACGGCCCTCATGAAGGTTAGTACAGCCCCTCTTCTTCCATTTTTTTTCCTTTATTTTTCTTGTATGACTTGTAAATTTATGTAATTGCTACCTGATTTGATACTTGGGAAAGGTTTAATCCAGTTTTCAGTCTGTTTTTTTGTTTTTTTTTCATCAGTGGGTTTGTGCATTTTCCCACTGAAGCCTTCTTACAGTCATTTTTGGGAAAACAGCACCATGAGGAGGTCTTGGTTTTTCTTTTACTGTGTTTCCAGTTTTGATAGGCCTTTAACAAAAAAAATCACATTCTGAAGTTATCTTTTCTCCCCTGCATTTTGCACATTTCATTGTTTTTGAAGATTTTATTATTTAGCTACGGCCAAATATGAAACATTTGTAAGATCATTCTTTTAATCTTTTTCCAGGCTATTAAACGTCAGCACAGAGAAGTTGTCAACTTAATGCTGCGAGTTGGTGTGAACATCTCAGCTCCATCCTGTAACAGTATATCAGCTCTGCAGTTAGCCATTGAGAGGAGAAACCCACAGATCGAGGGGCTTGTGCGGGCACACACAGACAGGTATGATCCTATTGTGGTGATTAGTGGTGTTACAAACATAACGCGAAAGTTTAGTGTGGAAATTCTATTTTGATCAGTAACATTTCTCACATGTGAATGGACGCTGGGGTTGGTTCTCGAGCAGGAGGCTCACCCCAGCTAAAAAACAACAACCAGACAGCTGCCTCGTAGGGACTAGTTATGCTATTAAAGTTATCTTTTCTCTCATGCAGCCTACCCCATGTTGTTCTTTTCCATTCTGCTGTTGTCCATATTTGGGTTTAAGTGACATGTAGGCCTTTTTTGTGCCAACCCCCTGATGACTAGTACTCAACAGCATATATTAAATTAAGAATAATGGACTGCTTGCATGTTTGCAAGGTGACTAATTTGGGTGGGTAGCCCTGTTAAACAAATACAATTACTCAAACAAGCCAACATTGTTCACAGGCTCACGGCTGCGTTTGAGAGCCGAGTGCTGTCCACGTTGGAGGACACAGCCCAGCTGATGGAGCAGCTGTTTCCCCTCCAGTGCTTCCCACTGCGAGAGGCTCAGGAGTTTGTCGTGAAATTCAACAGTAATATCCAGCCTGTGCCTTCTGGTGAGTTTTTTTCCCCCTTTTGAACCATAGATGGAGTTATAGTTTACTTGGGTACAGTGCATTAGGCAGTTAAATGTATATTGTTATTTGGATGTGCCAGGTCTATGTATGCAGATTACAATCTCTTTTTTTATTCTCTGAAATTTCATGACAGACAGTTGGGGAGGGGGTTGGAAGTGCTACTTATTTAACTTTTCCCAGTAATCTCTTAAAAGCAGAGTGGTTGTTTTGAATTTGAAAACTTATTGCATTATCAATTCACATAGCTGCCAAGTAGTACGTAAAAAACGTATTTAGTACGATTTTTGGGGTTTGAGTACGGAAATCCGTTTTGGCATTGGAAAATACGTTTTCAACTTTTCCCCCCTCTTAGTTTCAATACAAACTGGCTTCAAGCAAGAAAAATTAGAACATTTATGACCGGATAGGCGAAGTACAGGAGTCAACAAGACGACGAGAGTAGTGTCCCTGCAATTAAACTGGAAGTCGACCTCCTTCCGCGAGCTGTGCCCCTTCTGTATTTCTTTGTTATTAATGTTATTGAGCATGCGCTATTAAAGCGGGAAGTAACCTACGCAGACCTGCCACTCATCCCAATTAAATTTTTTTCCCCCCAAAAACTAAAGCATCCCGATTTTCCCGATTTCGATCGCCAGTATTCTGATTTTTTTTTTTGTCGTTGCGTCTGTTGCGTCCGATTCTTAGAAAAAATATATAAAAAGTTCTGCAATCTCTTTTGCTTGGAAGCACCAATTGGACTTCTTATCGGCTGGAACTTGGAACGCTATTTTCTAAAGCATCTAGATCTATGCCGAATCTATTAGTTGACTCACGCTCGTTATTTCTACTAAAATCGACGTAGTCGTAGTAGTATCAATTTTGAATTCCCACTTAAATACGCTCAAGATCTACTTTCGCTGACCTCGTACGTGTGGTGAGTAGCGCGTGCGTTGGGGACCGTCGGTTGTCGGGGTCAACAAAGTTCATTCACACCGGTCGCAATGATCGAGGTGTTTTCCGGGACTTAACCAGTGTGGACGACCGGGGGGGGGGGGTATTGTTTTGACACTTGGGCTTAAAGTGCGTGCCGTGATACATGTAGAATCTACTAATTGAGGGGAAAGGAATAAGAAAAATAATAAATGAACAACCTTGGCGCGATCTTTTTTCAGGAGGGGGGGGGGGTACCTTGAGTGTATATGCGATGGAAGTCTAACGTTGTTACTGTATGAAAAAGCGGACTTTTTCCCTGGATAATACGAGTTATGTGTCAGCTATTTTCAAGACTATGAGAGTTTCAGCTTTAGTGCTACCTGCGTTCCCCCAGTCTATCAAACTCCGATTCGAGTAACATATAATAATGCTGTCTTTCAGTTTTCAAAAAGCTTTGTCTTGCATACTCGCCTCATAAAGAACCGGGACCACCCCACCCCCTTTTTCCCAGTGCCCCTTATGACTGATTTGCCGTTGATCCGGATTTTTTTCACTAGATCTAGACTCTAGATCCTGATTTTTTTACTCTAAAATCCTGATTTTTAGATTTCATAGAGTGGCAGGTCTGCCTACCAGCTTTCTTTGTTTCTCATTCATTCACTTCGGGTCACGGGTCATCGTGTGTGTGTTGCGGGCAGCCTTAGTGATGATTGCATGCAGGAGCTAAAACTATGTCTTTGATCACGGACACGCGTTGTGCTTTCAAGTGATGGATGCGTTTTTAAAACCAACCAGTTCTAAGGCAAAACCTCGCGAACACACCTTCTGTGCCAAGTATTCAGAGGAATTCAACTTCATCACTACATCGAAATTATCAAACAAACATGCTTTGTACAAACAAGGTGCGCCGACGTCCTCAATGACAATGGTACGTCAAGTGGTGTTAACATAGGAGAACTTGTATCGACAGAATTAGAAACCTTAGGTGTTCCTTTTATGCACTGCATCTCTCTGAGTTCAGACAATGCTTCAGTGATGATAGGACAAAACAATGGAGTTATAACAAAGCTTAGGGAATCCCAGCCAGACATCTTTGCCATTGGATGCCCCTGCCATCTTATCAATCTGGCTGCACAGCATGCCTGTGTCTGTGGTGTGCTTATCATTTGAGTACAAGTTGTCTTTTGGTATCTTTTTGAAGTAAGAACTGGTCTCTTTCGCCGACTGCGCGTTGAAAATCTGTTTTTTAATTTTGAAAACTTGGCAGCTATGAATTCAGGATTGTTAGATGGTGTATTAATCCTTTGAGCCCTTACCACCGGTACACCTATGGTGCGTAAAACTGCCCATATGCCTAGTCACCGGTACACAGATGGTGCGTAAAACTGCCCATATGCCTAGCCACCGCACCGGTACACCGGTGAGCGAGACCCCATCCCCAAACCGGCCCGTCTGAGAAAAAACTCAACAGAAAACAGCGTTCACTACACATTTTATTGATTATTTTGAAGATCTTTCTGAATTAGATGCTGGTTATAACAAGGACTACCCTGAGTCGAGTGGGATATGAAATGTGATTCTGACAATCACATGAATGTTGGTGATATATCGCCCAGGAGCTCAGGCAGAGGGGCACGGTAGCCTCAGGAAATCAGGTCTCAAAGGGTGAAGCCTTTCGAGTTTCCTTTCTCTATTTGAAGAAAAGTCACATGCATCTGCAGCCATATTGGAAAATCGTAGAATTGTTTTTAAAGTGTTTTTTTTTTTCCCAAGCTTGACTTTACAGTAATAGTTCCTTTACTCATATTCGTCCCTTGGTTTTTTGTTGGTTTTTTTAACAAATGGTTTTTGTTAAAATATTTTTTGTCCCTGACAGGTGAAGGTTTCCTGTTGTTCATTGCACATACAAAAATCAATGACAAAGGAGTGAGGTGTCGCTTCCATGGCAGCTGCCCAATTGCCTCGGTTAGCTTGAATGGTGTTGTACAGTCTCCCCTGACAAAGGTAATTATACTGTTTATATATATACTTCTGGTTCACTCAAGGAACCTCTGATGTGGTCTGTCCTTATCTTATATTTTATAATTGTGATTCTGACTCTACTCAAACATAATACATTTTTCTTGTGAAAATTCAACAGTTTTGTCATTTCAATGTGAGGCCTTTTGTTACAGTTTTTCAATGTTATTTTGCGGTGAGTACATTGTTTTAGAGGGTGCGGTGGCAGCGGTTAATGGGCTCGTCTCTGAAGCGGAAAGTCTGGGTTCGAGCCTCGGATTGGACACGCATTTCCCTGCTCACCCAGCAGTAATGGGTACCTGACTTCGAGTTGGGGAAGTAAAGGTGGCGTGGAAAGGAACTGGCCACCCTACCACAATATGCCGAAGGCCTAGGAAGTTGTCTCACTAACAAGGCAATCACCAATGTCCAGATCGGATGCCGGAACAACTTTTTACATTGTTTTATGTTATTCTGTCCTGTCTACCCTCAAGAATTTTGATATGGAGTCTGAGTAGGACATATTGAGCACCTTGTGGGGTGTGGTCTTTCTTTTCTGTATCCGTGTCAAAAGGTCAGAGCAGTCCATTGTCTAGCAGTTGGGTTAAATGTGAGGGTCAGAAATTCGAGGTAAGCTAAGTCTTAAATTGCCTTTACTCTACTGCATAGTATTTGTTTAGTTATGTGTCTGACTGGATTGGTTGCTCCAGTTGTGTGGGTGATAGATAGATGGATGGTCGATCTTGCTTTTTTTTTCTTCTTTTCTTCTAGTCTTAGGCAAGTAGACAATGTCATTATGATTATGGTTTTAAAAAAAAGAAATGCATAAAAAAAACCCCACAGGTTGGGAAGTGGCTGTCTGTTCCTGTCTTGGACAGGTGGCCATTAGGGCAGATTTGACTGTATACGGTGGAACTGGAATTCAAGGAAAGAAGACAGGGATTCCCTGGGGGTTTTTTAGTCACTAAAATTAATAGGCGCTGTGTTTTAGGCATGGAAAGTCGACAAATAAAGTTACAGATACATCACAATCATATCCACCTTCCTTTCCCCTGGCTACTGAACAATGAAAGGCTAGCCTAGGCATCTAGATCTACATAAGAATTGCGTGCTGGTTTGTGGGAACAAACGCTGCTGAATGCTAAGCCCAACATGGTTGCATAACTTGTTGCTCACATTGCTATAATGAACACATGGATTCAACAAAAATGAAGGTCAGGCCCGACTGCTTCATTATATCCGAGTTTCCTGTATTATGTGTGTGTGGATGTCTGCTGTCCTCCACAGCTGAACAAGGGCGTCAGGTTTTCTGTTCTTGTGTGTTCACAGGAAGTAAACTTTGTGACTTCATGTCATCCCATTGTGTCTGGCTGTAACACTCTGGTTATAACAAAGTTACCTGAATATACTTCAAAGGTAAGTGGTTGTACCAGTTCTGTGGTACCTTACATACCCTGATAGCCCACATTTTATAAGAGCTAAGAAAAAATAATTAAAAGCAAAGAGAGGAATAATAAAACATTACAATTGCTTTTGTCTTGAGGGTCATCAGGATGGAATATATATTTTTTAAATGAATGCTGAAATAACCTCTTCGCTACTATGCCTATAGTATTTACGGGTCTGAATCGTATGGCGCTGTGCCTACCGCCCGTAGAATTTACGGTACTGTGACAGAGGTTATTTTAATGCCAATTATTAGAGGAGTTATTGCTAATATCTTGTATTTATTATTGAGGCACATTCACTTTATGTTTACCTCCTTTTTCCCCCCATTTGAAAGCGTCAGATTCAGATTTTAGCTCAAAGAGAAGTTTAGATCTAGATATACACATCTGCCGCACAAATATGATTTACTGGCTGTAAACACAGATGGGCTTACATGTATACATATAAATGGATTGTACGAGCGTTGTATAATTAAGGAAAAGCCTCTTGTCACCTACTCTTTACCTGCAAGCATTCACACAACATGTTTTCCCTTTTTTGGGGGGGATATAAGTTTATCTAATTATCTTTTCTCGAATGTGTGTTGTTTATGTTATTTTTGGCATCATGTTACTAACCCCAACTTTTCTCCATCTATCTCTCTTTGAAATCCCCCCAAAATCATATCAATAGAAATGTGGTTCAATGTAGAATGTACCTACAGAAATTCATGAGGATACTTTCATAAATAAAAAGTTATGAGAAGTAGATTGAGCATCCTTGGTTCACGAGATTTCCCCCGGTGCAGGGGTCTATTTACCTGCGGCATTGAAGGGATTGAAGAACCTACTCTCACTTTTGTCTCCTAGGACATTGGTAAACTCTAGTGTATCCTTTGCTTTCATTTCTTTCCACGCCAGGCTAAGCTTCTTGTATGTGCGTACAGAGCAAAGCTGATATGTTGAAGTCGGTACCGCTGTCACACCCACATGCTCCAAGTGATGACCAGATCGGAATTGTAAGTGTGAAAGCGAAAAGAAAAAACACAAACATCTGTCTCTGCACAAATACTTTGCTATTGCTATTGATGAAGAGAATTCGTCTTCTGGGTTGAATGCGAAAGTGTGAATGGTGGACTTATTTCATACAGAGTGTTGGGTGCTTTGTTGTTGAGCTGATTTAAATATGTTAGATAATGTATACTTATTTATATAGTATGTAATATTGGTGTAGATCCATGTGTAACCAAAACTGGATTAACTTTCACAGTGCTGAATTGCCTGCTGTCTGCATCTTTCATTTGAAGCACTATACTTATGTATGCCTCCATTTCCTCCAAACACAGCACTCTATAAATGCCAGAACATGGCACACATACACCAAAAAACATAAGATGAGCACCCCACATATATAACAGAACACAGCATGGGCACACTACATGTATATACCAGATTGGTAATGAAATGGTGTCCAGTACCTAGCTCAATGTACATTTCAAGACAGAAGTAATTTATATCTATACGTAAATTTATATTTTATATTTATTCTCTCTTGTTGATTGTACATATTATAATATTCATTGGTATATTTGTCAAGATAGCACCTTGCTAATACTTACTAGACTAGTGGTCTGGTATGTTATATATGTTATGTACTTGAAGATGATCATGTGACATGTGTGTGCAGCTTAATAGTAGAGCTGATATAATGTACGGTCTGCTTAAAGACAAGGGAGTGAAACTATAGTGTATGGCAGTTGGCTGCTGCTACTGCTGCGCTGGTCCCATCAATAATAATGTTGTTTGTCCCCCTCATGTTTGGTATTGTACGTAAGTTATGAAGCTGTGAGGAGAAATATTCTGGGGCACCACTTTCAGTTCACATCTTTAACATTAGAAAATTGTAAGAAGTTTTGATTTTTTTCCCTCTTGCTATTGGCAGTCTTTGTCCTTCTCTGTGCATGTACAACAGGACGTTGAGAATATTGCGGAATGTTAAAGACTGTTGAGTGTAACAATAAATTGTAAAGTACATATAGCCTACTTTTGAACTGGGACTTGTGCTATAATATAAATGCAATCTGTTATTATGTGATGACGTTTTCATTGCTGGACCTGCAGTACAACCTTTACTAAATAGCAGGAGTTTTCCCAGAGCACATTTGACCGGCTATTCTCTAAACGTTTTGTGTGACTGAAGGTCCCCCCCCCCCCCGGATATTTGTACATAATGATTATTAATACATGCTTGATGGCACGTGTGAGTGAAGCAAGTTTTGTGGTGATATAATGACTGTGGTGAAATCCATGTTGAAGGTAGTGGAGATGGTGCAAGGTTGGAGGGTTATCCCGGTTGTCTGTACTGTATTAGATGCTAGAGTCTGTGATCTTTCAACTACGTCAGGTGTGGCAGTTTTGTTGCGTATGCTTTTCGTCTCCTGAGAGATTGTCATGAGTCGAAGTTCGGGCAAGCCTGGGGTTGCTTAGGCTCTCCACTCCCCTCTGTCAATTTATAATTAGTTTGTTTGGATTGGAACACCTACAGATGGCACAGATTTAGTATTTGGTAGTCCAATATTTCTTGTCAAATGTGAACAGGGTTCAATTCACCAATTCATGTTTGAAGCACCTTCATTTCCCTGTGAATGATTTCAATGCTGAGACTATTTGTACCTCACTGTTTTGTTGTGCATCAAAACAGTTTGCTGGTTCACTTTTGCATACCTCAGATTTTTTTTATATTGTAATATAATGTTTTTTTCCCAGTAAACTTTATAGACTTGAGCGACCCAGGGAGAGTGTATGAAAAGTCAGGGGACAAGGTCTGTTGAATGAGTTTATTTATTAGCGCGGGCTTGTTTCCTTCTGAGAGAATTAGGGGTGGATCGTCGGCCTTCTTTCGAGCCTCTCAAGTTTGTAATTTTAGAAAGTAGAACCACTATTGTTCTGTCTGTCAGATGGGTTGCTATTTAGATGTCTAGTGGAATTTTGCTATGTGGGAGGGTTGTGTGTGAATCTCTTTGGTCCTTGAAATCTATTTCTGTTAAATAAACTGAGCTCTGATAAGTTGATTTTGGTTGAAGAACATGGTGAATTGTATCATGAGGTAATAAAGAATGAGTGTTTGATTCCTCTTTTCCTAAATCTGTTTGAGCTCAGAGTGAAATGTTGTCGCTTTGGCTGCATACAAAAGTTGTGGAAGAGAAGTAGTGACAGATATGGTACAGTCCTTATCGTTTTGTTTGTCAGATGCAGAAGTGAGTTTCTTGAGGAAGAGTGTAGATCATTTTTCTCCACTTTGCATTTGTGCTGCTTGTGTCGGTAAGCTTTTTGTACAAAGCACACTTTCTTTCTAAATATATCTGGTAAAGGAACAAAGGTTAGTGAACATCCATAATTATGTGAGCCTATGAAAATTTTGATTGTTTGAGTGAGATGTGTGTTTATGTGTGAATGCAGGGAACTCCCTTATCTTTTTAGTATACATGTTATTTGTGATATTTGATAACTGACCTCTTGACCTGTGCTGACCAAGTGAACCGTATTCTTTCTGCTTCTTATGTGATGTTGTTGCCCCATACTACTGCCATTGTATGTTTTGTTGTTGGTAGTTTATTTATATGACGGTAGTCCCGATGCGTGTTGTTACATGCAGCATGTGGCTGTGTTGATGTGATGTGTTTTTCTGGTGTTGTCATTATGGTCCTGACCCTCTACAGCCAGTAATTGTACATGTTTTGTTTTGTTGTGTACACTGCCAAACTTTGTGTATTGCAAGATGGTTCATCCCTAGAAATGGCATTCTCTGCGATGAACACTCTGTAGTAAAGAGGACACAAATCATCTCTGATGAACACTCTTTGTTGCATTTCTCCAATTTAAATTATATTAATTTAGTAGACATCTTTTCTCTTTCTTGATGTCACCTCCTAAAAGCAGTGTAGTACACCCGCAATATTAAGATCTCGTCACCAATGTCCTTAGGGTGGGGGGTTGCGACCTATCTTAGATAGGGGAGGGAACCATCTTGTTTTAGTTTTACAGTTTGTGGTAGCAATCAAGCAGTTGAGTGCAGATTTTTCTTGAGTCTCATTTGCTTGAATGTAGCCTTCTGAGTGGCTGCACGACAAAGGGGTCCCTTTTTGTTTATTCTTATATATCAATGTCAAAGGCATTACTCTAAATTTGAAGGCATTTAAATTTTGCTGTGTTTTTTTGTTTTTTTGTTTTTTCCATTGCATTGGGGACAGGTCCATTTTAGGGGGCCAAATCAGCTTTCAAAAAAAATATTGGAGGAGTATTGAGTGTATATTTTGGTAAATCCTTGTGGATGCAACATAGACGTTGCAGTCTCAGGGTTTAGGGTTGTTTTTTTTCCCAACTATTTAGGACACTGCTTTTGTGAAAGTGAATGCAAATAGTTTTCTTACTAAGATGTAAGACTTTAAGATGTTTAAAAAGGTGTCAAAACCAGATCAGCGGTTGTCTATAACTATAAGTATATTTAGTGCCAGCAAGGACACAACTGGTTTTGTGTGGGAAGAGAGGAAAATTTGCTCTTCTCACACAGTGCAAGTCTCGGGGGCTTTCCTTACTCTTTGGTCCTATGGTGCCCACCATAGATCAGTAGAGACTTGGAAATTTGTCTTGTTTCTTTCGTTTGTTCATGTTCTGATTTTCAGCTCTTGATAACTTTGTAGCACACGAGTTTGCTATGGTCTTTGCATTATTTAAATTCCTTTACTTTACAGAGTGTTGCTTCAACATTTTTGGGGGGTATTATAGAGCCTTGTGTTTGGTTTTTGAATTAACCTTTTCTTGGTTAAAGATGGGGAGTTCTCTTTTATTCTTTCAACGTTAAGGGAGTTACTTTTATGGGTTTGTTTTGCACGTGGGTCTATATTTTTTTTTCTTTTGAGGCTGAGGTTTTGTGCTTGTATTTTTAACATTGTCATGAAGAAAATTTTTTGTGGGTGGGCAAATTCTCTGTTTAGGAAATGTATTGGTGGCTGTTATGGCAAATGAAAATGCTGAATGTTTTATGTATATTGCTGTTGTGGGTATTTGTTGTGACAAAACAATGGATCTTTCATTTCATCTTATTTATCTCTGAGATGGTGCATGTTGGATAATGCTTATTTAGTTGATCATACTCCTGTCATAGCAGAAGAGTCAGATCGCCGATGAATCGAAAGAATCATCTTCTGTTATGACAGTTGTGAGGTTGAGGTACACCAATTCAAAAGGTCATTGCTGAACCTTGTTGTACATAAAATTATTATGTTAGTCTGTACCTTCATGTCTGTGTGGTAAACAAGATTGCCCTTCCAGCTGTGGTTTCTGTTGATCTCGTGTAGCCATTTTAGACATGAATAACATGGTGTAGGAGTGTATGCCATTACAGAGATGCCATTTAATTATTGATGTTTGCACGCACTTACATGTATTTGTGAACACATTTTTGGTTTTTGATTCATCTTTGTTTTTTCCCCCCCACAACCCCTTCTTGTTTTGCCATTAATTTGATCGATGTATCATTAATCTGTTTAGTTTCTCGTTACTAGGAGAAAGACAGAAGCTTTTGTTACTAGTACTACTTATCTCTTCCCATCAAACCTTGTAAGGTTTTTTTGTTAAGGAGGGCGGGAGAGGAAGATTTCAAAGGACATGCCCATTATTTTGAGGTGGATGTGCCTTAGTGTTGTGAAAAGAGTGAGTCGGATATATATATATATATATATATATATATATATATATATATATATATATATATATATATATATATATATATATATATATATATATCCTCCTTCCTTCCCTTTTTTTTCTTCCTTTTGTGAGTGAGTCAAGAGTGGCTGGAAATAATATACTACTAGTTTTCCTCTATCATATGTGTATGTTTGGTGCTTGTATAGCCTTTAGACAGGACATCACTTTCCATATGAAGTACAGAAATCCACCTACATGTATACATTGAACAGCATTGTCGAGATGAACTATACCAAGTCATCCATCTGAATTCTCGTCCCATTTGCCATAAACTGTCTTGCTTCATAGCGAGTAATGAAATTTCATACAATTAACACGAAAGCAATTTCGTAATTTGCAATGCATAATACATATTTATTGATTGATAACAACGATATAAGTATATTTATAAATTGATTATAAAAAGAAATGCCCTTTTTTAAATTGTCGTGACATTAGTCATTTTGTTTGATGGTTTTTTGTTTTTTTTCCCTATTTTGCTTTTGTTATGGTTTGGCAGCAAGTAGTTTCCTGTGAGTTTGCTCATTTTGTACACTTTTAGCTTTAGACTGATAGAAATGGCTCCTGTGTCGTTTGTAGTGACGAATGTTTCACCACCCTCATTATTGGCTAAGTTGTTCCTTCATCTGTGAACACATACACAGATTTTACGATTTTTTGTTTTTTTTAAATCGTCCGTGTTTAGCATAGTGATATCTCTTGAGAGTTACTTTTTTTTTCCTTCCTGTGTATCGTTTTCCTTTCTTGTCTTTGGCAAGCTCTGGCAATTGCTTACCGTTTATATCTGAAATAGAAATTTAGAATAGGCTACGGAATTTCTGTACTTGGGGAAGTTAGGCTGTTTTGGAAAGGAAAGACTCAGATTTCTTTTTCTTTGCCTGTTTTGTGTGATTAATATGAACAGTCAGGTGACTCGAGTTGCCAAAAGGAAGCAAAGTGTTTTATTTTATGGGTAGGAGTCTTCACTTATTTGTGGTTTATGTAGTAGAAAATGGAACTATTTTTGGTCTTTCACTCGGACTTCGATATCTATTAATTAGTGTGAAAATGAAGTAAAGTTTACTTCTGCAGTTCACAATGAACTTTATCTGTACTTTAACAATGAACTTCATCCATACGTCTAGTACAGACCAGTGTTTATGGTGTTAGGATCAGTTTCTTTGCCATGGTACGCAGAAGACTTGTCAGATTTCAGCATTGAAAGTATTTCTCATCCAGTGTTTCTCTTTTGGGAGTTGCTTCCCACTTGACACGAACTGACCCGAAGAGGCCGTGTGTAGACACAAGGTGACCCTGACTGACAGGGTTTTCAAAACACCCATCCTCTAAATGCAAAATGGCCAGAAGTGTGTTGATTGGTGGTGCACACTGTACATGTGCTACAGCATGTACGGTACCGTCAGTCGTCTTGTGCCGGGCAGTCATCTAGCATGTTGATGGTGCCTGGGGTTCTACTGTAGTTTAAATACATGTATAGCCACGTCGGAGATTTTCAAAGAATTATTTTGATGTCCAGTCATAGAAGAATACGTTGATGGCTGTTCATCAGTTGATGTACCATAGTTGTATGTTTTGGGCTGTACGCGGAATGAATTCCTATTGTAATCTCTCCCGCTGTATATGCTTCAAACAATTGACGCCTGATTTCATGGGAGAGAATTACGGTCTATGGGATGGCACATAAAATAAATTGAAACAAGAATTTTAAACGGTTTTTCAGGAAAGCTGAAATAGCTGCAGTTTACAAAAATTTGTTGTGCGTTTCGAGGTCAGTAATTATTATTTTTTTTACTGGTATTTGAGGATTTGTTATTTTTTATAATCTTATTCTTATAAATGAATACCTAGCCATTTCTAGTGTGCTGCTTTACACAGGTAAGCAGAATGTATTGCACTTGGCAGTGTGCTGGTAGTATGTTGTAAGCAAGATTTGACATTTCTTTTACTTTTACCTTTTTATGCATGGATTTTCCCTGTAATAATTGACATGATAGAATACCATAGACCCCAGACACCTGCACAATGTAAAATGCACACAGTACACAGTCCAACGTTTAGAAGAGGTAGAAAAGATAACTCTTTGTATCACAGGATTTTACCAGGTCCGGTATTTCTTTCATTGACTTAACTGTTCAGCATAGTCTAGCACTTTTGTTTTCACCCTGATAAGACTAAGAGAGGTGTGTTTTCTAATCTTTAGCTTTTTTAAAGGGTCTTGACTTTGGCTTCTTTTTTTTTTTTTCTTGAACTGTTCTGTGAGGACTTTGCAGCTGTCAGAGAGTACTACTGGTTACTTTAGAACTATAGAGTACAAACTTATTTGTCCCAAACTTTTGGAAGAAATGGTAACATGGGATTATCTGTTCTTCTTAGGAGTTTTCTAGAAAAGTTTTTATTTTATTCTATCACTTACTGTGTTGTCTGCTTGCTTCCCTAATTGAATAATGTATTGTAATTTGATTCCCAGATTCACGTAAGTTTTGGATTCAGGATTTTGTCTTTCTCTGCCCCCGCCCCATCTTTATTGTTTGCATCGTCAAGTAATTTCGTCCTATGGACATAATTAGCTTTAGTGTTTTGTATATTCTGCGCTCCTCTGAGGTGAATTTCCGGTGTTAGCATACAGCTTCTGTTTTCTGTGATGTTGCTCATGCGATACAAGTCTTCTTACTGTGAACATCTTTTTCCTACTGTTCAATTATGAATAAAGTCTTAATAAAAGTTGTGTTACCATGAAGTTGCTCTTGTGTGTCTGTGTGTCCTTTACAGTGTCGCTGAGCGAGAGAGATGCATCTAATTTTTGTTTTTATGTTTCATAATTTGGTGAGAGTAAACTCATGTCTGCCTCCTAAAACTAAAACAAAGTAAAATTTTGTTGATAGAGGGCAGCAAGCATTTTCAACCAAGACAGAAGCCATTGAAAAATACCTGGTCAAAATAGTGCACCAAAAGTTATGAAATGAAACAATACAAAAGTTTGTGAAGCAATAGTAGTACATGTAGCAAAATTAAGCTAAAAATAGATTGTAATCAAAGAGGAAAAAAGGTGATCATGGTTGGCAATGGGGGCAATATTGTTCTGGTGTAAATTACTCGGAATTAATTTTTACCTCCCCAAATATTCTGAGAAATCAGATGCCAATTTTGTGGAGTCCTCTTAAAAACTGAAATCTGAGAGACCTTCAATCTTTCGGTTTAGAGAGGGTTGCTTAAATGGCTCAACAGCATAGAGTCTGGAATGTCATGCTTGCGCAAGTTTCATTTTTTTAGTCTTCATTTACTTCTTTCAGGAACTGCATTTTGTGCTGCAGGCTGTACACATTTTAATAATAATAGATAGCATTTGTATAGCACATCTCCCCGCTCGACAGTAGGCTCTATGCGCTTTACACTATATCTTGTTTTTATTTCGACATTGTCAGCTTGCTTAATAGTCTGTCGAACAATCATAAAGAATAGACAAAAGAATATATGGAGAGAAGTGAGAAAAATAAAGTCCAATGCCAGTGATGTCATGAAATACACCACGTGCTGTCACATGCTCATGTGTAGGGGTTATGTGAACTAGCTTCGCAGAGACAATCACCCGTGACCAGCCAGAGGAAGTGCAACATGCGTGCAATCACTATCCTTGTGCCACCAGGCCAATATTGGTGTGTTGTTCGTAGACCTGTTGGTCTGTATGATACAAGTACAAATATCTAAGGCAAACGGCTCACTGGTGATGCCTTTTTCTGTGGCCTGCAATTCACTCACTCGTGTCTCTTCTGTTTTGCATGATGAGACTTGATGGTTTGCATTACTTGAGGACATAACCCTCAAATTTCTTTACTAATCGATACTTTTCTTTGAAAAGACAAAAAAAAGGAGAATTCTTTTTCTTAAGGTTTTCAAGTTTATGGTGTTCAGTTAAAGTAGGCTTCACTGTATTATCAATTCTTTTGTTAAAATCTATATTTCTGTCAGACCTCGTCTCATGCAATGAAAACAACTGCAGCACATTTCAGATACAACAAGATCAGGATACTGCTGGATGAGTATTTCTGATTGCCATTTTGACACGAACATTAATTTGGCCCATCACAACACATTTGCGCTTCTCTTTTGAAGCGAGCTAACAGGTGAGATCACAGTAGCACATGCGCTCCGTCTCATTAGACAAGATGCTGTGATCGACAAACATTTTCGACACTTCCTCAATCTTGTACGGTAAAGTGGATTTAATATCCTTTTCATAACAGTACAATTATTATTGCAGCTGGCGTAAGTAGTGGTTAGGCTACCGGATTTGTTATCATGAGATTGGGGGTTCAGGGGTTCGAGCCTCAGACTCTGATTGGTCTGACGTTGTGTCCTTGGGAAAGGCACTCAACGCAAATTTCCCATTTGGCTTGGGCCTTTCGGAGATGAACTCGGAGGTTCCGCATTTTAAATAACCTAAGTGTTGATCAGGGAATTGAACCTATACCATTCCACTATTTTTAAAAAAACAGGTGGGGCTTCCATTTTATGCAACATCAGATGGCTGGACACCACCACAGCTCTGCTGTACACTGACAAAAAAAATGTCTTTTTCTTATCCACTAAAGTTTCGAGATAAAAAGGTGTTTTGTCAGCGTGACCATTTAAAGAAAGACATTCTTCCAAAATTTGAATTCTAATTTATTCTAAATGTCTAAAACTAGTCATAATTTCACTTTGATTTTATCATAAAAGTTGGGTAATCAGGCTTTCGATTTAGCAAATAAAAAATATAGAACCAAAAACTAAAAAAGGCGATCTGTCAGCTTAGTTAGGCAGATCTTTTATTTATCTCTTTATCTCTGTGGTTTCTGTTTGTTAAACTTGTCTTTTCTCTGCACTAAATGATCATGTAGACCCACCGGGGCAGTGCCACTGACAGAAGTGTCTTTAGGCCATTCCCAAAGGGGGACATATCTCGTTCAAGCATAGTAGAATTGTAAATGGGCTGATTCATGTCCCGCTCATAACTGTGCCTGATCTACAACAGGGAACTGTTGCTTTTTCTTTCCTGATCCTTACTATTGTCATTTTCCTCTACTTCTTTTGTATGTTTGTCACTCCCTTGTGACCTGCTATTTTGGGGTGCCATGATAGTCGAAGCAAACCTTGTGCTGTTGAAGCTAGAGAGGTGAGCAGTCTGAGTCTGATTCCCTGTAAAGACTTCTCTGTTGACACCCACCCCTTGGCGCTCATATGACCTAATGCTGTTGCGAGCGCCGTAAAACCCTCTACTATTAAAAAAAAAAAGATCATGTTGTGTTGACGTGCTTCTCTTTACAGATAAAATAAACAAAACAACACATAACCCCTGTCTCTCACAGTAAGAGGACTGGTGTCTGTGGTGTAGCAGTTAAGTGCTTAGCTGTTGCACGCAGGAGACACATTCCTGAGAGGAAAGCAATCTTTTATCAAGTATCTGTCTTTATGCAAGGATGTTGTATCCTTTTCAGCTCGGTTTAGCTCTAAACAAGCAGGGTCAGAATCTCACCTTCAAAATGATCTAAATTGTGCTGAAGTAAAACACTTACACTGAAAAAAAAACCAAAACCAGAGGACACAGCAGGTCGAGATGGAGCCGGAGAGCCACAAGAATTCAAAACAATACAAGTCCAAGTTCAACAAGTCCCCACTGTGGATTCAAACCAGGGCCATCCATCCCCTATACTTATAGTCGTACACTGCCACAATCATTATTGTACAAGATACTCTCTAAAATTAATATGACATTATCTATTACAACATTTAGAATAGTCATAAAAACACGCAAAAAGGAACTATGAAAATCACATTTTTGTATTTTTTATGACCTGTATTACAACAGAAGAAAAACATTGTGATAAAATGTAACATAGACAATGACATATTATTTCTTTGACCTAATCCTTTATCCATCAGAGCTTTGAGCATGTGCGAAGTTTTCATAGAAATTCATTCACTTTCCTAACGTGGAAACACAAGCAAGTCCAATTTGAACCTGATCTTACTTTGGTTTGGCTGCAGCACAATTAGCCCTCATTTTCCCCCCATTTTATAAAAAAGACCAACAGGACCACACTGTGCACTCAAGTCTTCCATTCTTTTCTAAAAAGGTTTGCTGAACAACCCCATTCTAACAAGTCATACAGGCAGCCTACAAACATTTTCATGGCATGTTTTACTTTTAAGTCAGTGTCAAAGTTGCTTAGCGAAGTATCTTGCCAAGAAAAAACTACATTGTCCTATCTGTATAATATCTTCTATGTATCGACTCCTCTCAAATAATTGCTGCTTATTTCCCCAATAAAAAGAACCAGCCTGACATTTATAATATCCCCTCTTTCTTCAGCAATGTATACATCTTCTTGTTGATAATGTTGCCTTGTGAGTCTTCATATTCCTCCTGAAAATAAAAATAAAAAAGTCAGTGAAGTCTTTAAAATGTTTTTCTAATTTCAATCTCCATATAATAATATCCTACAGTACAACAATTTAGTTCATTTTAGTAAGATGTTACGGCGCTCGCAACTGCATAAGGTCATATGCACGCCAAGGGGTGGATGTAAACAGAGAAGTCCAAACGTGGAATCAGGCTTACTCTGCTTACCTCTCTAGCCTCAACAGCACAAAGTCTGCTTCGACTATTAAGGCACCCTGGAAATAGCACTTCACAAGAAAGTGACAAACATACAAAAGAAGTAGAGGGAAAATGATGATAGTAAAGATGACGGAGAAAAAGCAGCAGTTCCCCCATAGTATCAGCATGACATTGATAAATCAGCCGATTTACAATCAGACTGTGCATAAGAACATGTTAATATCCCCCCTTTGGGAATGGTCTAAAGACAATTTCAGCCAGTAGCACTGCCCTGGGGGGGGGGAGCACAATGATGAAAATTTAAAATTTCCTTTTAAAAAAGTCAGTAATTTGACCTGGTCATATAAGTGCCAAAGATTAGAGGTGTTACAATACAGCAACAAACCCAAAAAAGAAGGAGGAGAGATAAGATGATAGACATTTGATAGGCAAGAGGCAGCAAACCATACCAGAGCACCCACAAGCCACTCACCCTTATTTCTACAATTTGAGTAAAAAGAAGCACAATGGCAGAATAATGTCAAGTTGAGCAAGAAAAAAGTAAAAAGACAGAAACAAAAGATGGAGAAAAAAAGAAGATCTTAAGAGGAGCATTGCCAGGCCACCATTATACTCGTCGGTGGTCACTCTGCTGTGGGACAGTATGACAAAATTTATAAGTTTATACCTCAGTATCCGCCTTGAATCTCTCCGCCTCTTTACCAGACTTGATTCGAGTCCACACTAAATGAAAAAAACAAAAATAATAAGAATGACAACCAGCATCACAAATATTAAATAATTTATTAAGCAGAGCGTAACTGTTGCCTCTACGTGGATTTGGAATATTATATTCAAAACCATTCTGATAAAAAGACCAGTTCAACAACATTGCTTTTTTTACATTCCAAAACTGTACAGAAATTATGGTCAAAAGCAAAACATGAGGGATGACAGCCTCAAAGAAGCCCCAGCCTCACAATCACACCATATTGCGACTTCAGTGCTCTTTTGTCGTATCTTTATTTTTCCTAAACAGTGAAAATGTGACTTCTTCCTTAACCCTAACTCTGGCAAGGGCCGATTAAATCGGCCCATTTCCTGCCATGAAACTGGCAGGGCCGATCTCATAGGACCATATAGTAAACTGCTGCTTCTGCCTTCCAACTAAATATTTGGGGCTTCCTAAAGTGATTTCTGATTGGCTAAAAGGCTAACCTACAACCAATCAGAATATTTCTACCATTCTGGCTTAGGAGAAGAGTATTTTGCTTTCAAAACAGAGGGATGTTTTGAAAGCTTGTTGATCAGGTCACAAGCCACTAATGCCAATGTAGATCTATCACTTGTGTGGGTCTAAAATGGCCAAAAATCGATCTTTTTTGGATACATTTGAAAGTGAATTGACTAGGGAAAGTAATTCAGACACTGTTAGTGGTGGATTTATTGGTGTTCAGTCAAGATTGGGATTAGATCTGACAGACAATGGGGATACATTACCAGTTCTCATCCTGCCCCGACTTCTCTTTCAAATGGAACACTAGATTCTACTACTTTGGGAGTCTAATAGGGGCAGAAAAAGGAGAGCTATAGAGTAAAGTAGGTTCCTTTTGCTATACTAATTATTACAGACTACCAGCAGATTGCTGAAAACCACATGGTTGTACTTAGAGTGTTTTTATGTTGAGTTTGGTATAAAATTAGCGAGTATCAGCTGCGTTCGAAACAGACCACATGACAAATTGAAACAGTCATAACTCATTACCTGTTCTTCTCAAACCTATAAAACTATACATTTTCTGAAAGGTAATTGAAAAACCCATATTTCTGCTATCTCACATTTTTTATAACAAGGAATACATTAGATTGGTGAATATGCTAATGAGCATGTAAATTTTTTATGTCAGCCATCTTGGATTTCAAAGTTACATAACCCCTTGAAAATAAAATAAAATCATATGTTCAATGGTAAAATATAAAAGTTCATTCAATTATCTTTCAAAAAATATATACTTTTGTAGGGTTTTTATTTGATGCAAGTCCATAAATTTGATTTGTAAAGCATGTGCACGTTTTGGCTGACTGGCCCTGCCATTCCTGTTGAAACCATTTGCCAGAGTTAGGGTTAAGCTCACTCTGTGTTTTGAATTGTTTTCACTGTCATTAAAAATAGAGATGCAATAAGAAAGCACTGAGGTCGTGATATACTACTTAAGGCCTATTAATTTCAACAATAATATAGTAGTACACAGATGGGCCAGAGAGCATTTGATAATGGCCCCAAGATCTGGAATGCTTTGCCCAGTAGTCTATGAGTATGAGATATCAAATCTTGTTATTCATTCAAATGTCAGCAAAATTCATCTGTTTTTAAATCAATGAGACATATGTATATTATATTGATCTTAAGTCAGACCACAAAGTACTGTGTATGAGCTACTGTTGTATAATGTTGTATAAGCACTCAGCAGAGCCTGTGCACTTAAATCAGGGTTGAGCGCTATATAAATGCCATATATGATTAGTATTGACTGAAGGATAAGATTGCATTTTGAATTTGAACAAGATTCCAAAACTAAGACCACCTGACACATAGAGTATGGGATAAAAATACAACTGTACTTTAGTTTATATTCACAACTTCACCATAGTGCAAGGTACATAATAAGAAAACACACTCACAGGCAAGGGCATCCTCTATGGAGGTCACATTGGCAAAATGAGCAGTGTTTGGAATGCCCAGACATCTCATTCCTAAAGCATGTCTTGATTCCTGTACAGAGAACAATGGAGTATTCATGTAGAAAATACAAAAGAAAACAACAAATAATGAACGCAAGGGATGCTAAAATCCCCTGCATTTTTCTTGTTTTGTTCTATATTCTATTGAAGAAAAGAAAGCTGATCATAATCAAATACACAAAATAAAATCTGAGACCAGATTTATTGTTTAAAGAAATAGGAGAAAGATACCCAAAAGTTTTTCTTTTGATCACTGCAATACCACGATGAAAATGAGGTTTAACTAAAATGACTCATCAATACGTTTGTAGCTGCTCATTTCTACCATACTTTCTGGCATCAGCTCCTCTATCAAGGCCCTATAATCTCATACAAAAACTGTGCATGAATGTCAAACTGACTGCAAACAAAACTAATTTTAAAAATGAATGAATTCTTAAAAGGAGGCTCTAACACAAACACACAATCTTGTGCACATCAATGCATAATCTTGTTCGAGTCAACAGCAGACATCTCTTGTACATTCATTACAAAACAATCATAAATAGAGACAGCAGCAGCAACAGCAAAAACTGCAGAACCTGAGCATCAACAGGATATCACTCTTATCTACAACATCTTTTAATCATAACTGCAACAATTACCTTTTCTTTTTTGAGCACCTTGCCATCAAATAGAGAAAAATTCAAGATTATTTTCAGGTCTAAAAATGCTTCAAACATCTTCCCAGCCAACTAACATTTTGAAATTAGGGAATTAAAAAAAAATAAAAATAATAAAGACGAAGAATGCAGGACAAAAGATGGGAAAAACTCAAAAAACAACTGTATGAATGGATAGAATTGGAATAAAATTCGGCATTGATAGAGACAGTAGACACTTACAGCAAAATGCCTCTGGAAGGCTTTGGGTCCTTTGTAGGGGTGATTGCCGCAGATCTCACAGTTGTAGGTCAAGTTCAAGCCATGGAGTTTGTACAACCAGTATGGTATAGGCTGCAACAGACAATAAAAAAGTAAAAATAGTTAACTTTCATATAAAACAATACCAAAAAAACCCCCCAAAACAGTCATAACTTTCAAATAAATAGATTCGAGACCGCAATTAGATATTGGCCACAATTGTACTCCTTAAAAAGACTTAGGTCTGTTTTCGTTATTTAAAAATTGTATAATCTATTGCATCTCTGTCAGACAATCTTAAAACAATATGCGTGATACAGCTTTGCTCGAGTGGAAGACATTGAGCAAATAGACTGTCAAATGATAACTTTACTCTCTTCAGATCGTGGCTTCCTTGAAGCTCCAAAGGAGAGACATCAATAATATGTTTGAAATCAAAAAAAGGTGTAAGGATTTTTGCCTGAGTGCCCAGCTTTTTTCAAATGTTTTATAGCATCAATGTGACAATTGACCGACGATAAAACAGCGTCCACTGATTTATGGTATTGTGCACTGGAAACTGAATGTTGTTTTTATGTCGGAACCAAAAATTATTTTTTTAAAGTGCTAAAATTTCATCTTAATAATAACCATCCCAGTCTTCATTTGACCATGAATTTGCAAATGACGGGCTTGTAATCAAAATGAGGCTTCAGCAACTGAAAATGTGACAGAAATATTTGACAAGTCACCATCTTTGCACCAACATCAATATCTCAAAAAGACAAATTTTCACAAATAGGCATGATTTTAAAACTATGGACCATCTGCACACCTGAACATACTCTCTATATTTACCCTTCTGCACACCAAATGCTTCAGATTGCAAGGGTGCCAATCTAGCAGTTGACTGAAGGCACAGGTTCTTTAAGACTGGGGGCCCAGTCTCATTTTGACTGACCATAAAACAAACCCCCCCCCCCAAAACTGACATTAATCCAAAGAGGTTATATGCAGCACTAGAGCTTGTGGCAATGACATAACCCACGTAAACGAATGGTGGCTGCATGTGCCCACTCTTGGACACTGAAAGTGGAGGGCAAGAATAAACGCAGTTGTACTGGCAGTGATTATTTTTCGAGACTCACATGTAGATGTCTAGACGGTCTTTGGAAAAATCTACAAGTTGCACTGAAATCTGGGGGTATGGTTGTTTTTAAGGGACTGGAACTCTTGCGGAGCGTGCGAGTGTTCAGATCGTTCATGTAAATAAGGATACGCCAGCCATGTCATTGAGGGCAAGTAGCGCACCCCATCCCCTCCCCTTCCCAGGTCTGACACCCGTGATGTTACCGCCATGAGTTCTACTACTATAATATTTAACCTCTTTGCATCAATCACAAGCCTGACCTTTCCATCCCAGCCTGTGGGGAGGCCCTTGGGGTTGTAAGGAGCGTCCTCTCCCTCGTCATCAGAGTCAGACTCCTCGTACTTCTCGTCATCTGACTCTTCTCTCTCCTCCCCTGTCTGTGCCTGCTTGCGCTGGACGTTGTCTCTGGTGGCCGACCGCTGCTCGCTCAGCAACTCTGACAGTCTGTACACCTGGGCCTCCAGCAGAGCAATCTCTCTCTGTTTTTCCGAATCCCTGAAAGTTTTTACAAAGACTCAGTGAAAAGCATGTCTCTTTAGTTTAGTTTTAGTAGAGGTTTTACGGCGCTCACAACTGCATAAGGTCATATGAGCGCCAGAAGATTAGAGAAGTTACAAGAGAGTAACAAACATAAAAAAGAAAAAGGGGAGATAAGGGCTATAGATGTTTGATAGGAAAGAAGAAGCAAACCACACCAGAGCACCCGCCAACCACCCAAAAGCATGTCTCTAAATCATTATGAAAATACTGAACCCTAAAACGTAATGAAACTAAAAATAATAATACAGATCATTTCTATAGCGCCTACTTCTGCACAATACTGCTCAAAGCACTTTATAATACCTTCACCTCAACACAAAACACAAGTAAATAAACATGCATAATCAGACACTTAATAGTCAAATACATTTCATCTGCTTACCAAAATATAGCATTAACCATACACATAAGCAAGGGACCAAAAATGCTACACTAAAAACAACTTAGTACAGATTCACTTTGTCAGAATTGATAAATAGCCTCCATTCTACACTACCAAGTGGCATAAGGAAAAAAGACAAAAGCTTCACAAGCGCATAAAGTCAACAGTACAATAAAAGGCTCTAGAACCATATGGAAAAACAAGGGTCTGATCCACCCGAAACTACATCGAAGCAACATAAAAATGTTTAAGAGGGAGCAACCCAAAACAATACCTGTTCAAACAACTCTGTCTATAGACTTACAAGAATAACAAAGGGGACACTGAGGCAGTTCAGCATTCTGCTGTTTCCAAGCCCAGTTTAGCGTAAATTCGGCCTTGTGATAAAACCGACTGACCCACAAAATATAAAAAAACCTTTTTATTGGCCCTATCGATAGTAAATTGTCCATTTCATAACCATATGCTCATTCAAAGACAGATTTGAATTTTGTTTAGAAATGTCTTTAAAACGTTAGAAACAAAACTGTATAACCCGGCACGCATCAGATTTTAGCCAGATAATTCCGACTATCCCACATGCGAGGGAGGGAATGATGGTTGGCTGTTTTTGTCGCGCTAACAAAGAGAGGCCACTTGCTATGTTACCAACTAACCCTGGCTTCCACTTGTCTCTGGACTTCATATGACATTAGACTCTGACCTGTGACAGTCCAGAAATCACTCACGTACCCAAAGGAGCTCTCCAAAAAGGAATATTTGTATATTTCTAGTTGGTTTCATTGGGGAGTTATATAAATCTGGTTGTTTCCTCTTTTTTCTTCGTTTTTAATACTGCTGATAATATTATTAATGACTAAAACTCCCCACTGTTCCCACAGAACTGTTTATCTCTTGACAATGCCGGTATTTAAAATGCATCTTTTTTCAATTTTGTTTTATATGATACTATTTTTTCTGTCCACGAGCTCTTCCTTGTCTTTGTACTGGAAAGTCACTGAATTATAAAGCCATTTTCCCCTATTCGGACTTCCGTCTCTTCTCCAAATCATTTTTTTCTTCATTGAATGGACAAAGTCGATAGCATTTCATTCTTTACTAACTCACTCAGAAAAAAAAATTGCGTCCAGCACACCGCCTGCCCCCAACAATCATTGTTGTTATAAGTGCTTCTTCTTTTTTTCATTTGCAGTGTTTATTGCAGCCATTACCTTCTGAAACATCTTTCGGATTTTTATGATAGTTCATTTCATTTATGTTTTGTAGATGATTTTTTCAGTGTCATAATATAATGCTTTATCCTTATACCAAACCTTAACATACATAACGCTATAACATTCCATCAAATGATGCCACTCTTGCTGTGTCACCCCTGACCCTCAGCGCAGGGGGAAGTGATCAACATGACCAGGCTAATGTCACATCAGCTGATGATACAACAGTTATGTCGTCTTTGATCTCTGCGAAAAGGACACGGCATGAAAACGATTGGAAGGGTAACAAAAGGAAGAGGTTGAAAGAACTGGGAATGCCTCTACACATGTCAAAGTACAAAGCGAGCAGGGCGTGAACTTAATGTCCTTTGCAGTTGCAAACTGCTTTGGCACAAAATGCAATGGCATCACTGGTCACTCTCTTGGAAGGAAAAGAAAGCCTACGTATATGCCATGGTAAACAGGAGAGACAAAAAGACATCTTACACAGCAAGTGAAAACACAAGAAGAAATTACCCCCTTCAATACCACTTAAAAAGAGTCAACGGTCAAAGAATTCCTGTCTGTAAAACAATCTTCATGAACACTAGATCTACCGGCCTGACCCACTAGTTTATTTAAAGTGTCTTCTCCGAAAAAACCCAAAAACAAAAGTCCCCCAAGAACACATCATGCCCACCACGAGAGAGTCAAACAAATTGTTCCATAAAGAGGAATTTTTTGACAAACTTTCGAATAAACAACCTTGTCTGCAGATGACAATCGAGAACACGTCAGATCTGCATCGAATATACATGGAGAAATGTGCAGAGAGGCCGAAAAAAACATTGAGCTAATCAAGTGTTCTGCCAAAAGATCAAGAAAAACAATTTGGGTTTACTTTCAACCAAGAAATACCAATGCGACGTGCACCAGCTTCGAATCTGGAAACCTCACAGAAACAGAATACACAGCTCATCAAATATGAATATGAGGAAAGCTGCATCTCGAGCAAAGAAGGAGAAGGACAGGGAGCCCGCACTGAACCCAGAGAACAAAGTGAGTGTCCTTTGTATGGAGATCCAGTGCGTCCTCCTGGCACCATCACTAAAGACATCCGCCTTATATTATAAAACAAAAATGGCTGTACACAATTTTACGATTTAGGATCTTGCCACAAGAGACGCCAGATGATATGACAGGGATGAAAGTGAAGGTGGTCTGAGCTCCAACAGTTTTCATCATGTCTGGGAGCAACTACCAAAGCAGAAATGCCACCCTGGTGAGTTCAATGGCCTCACTGGCCAAAGAGCTTGACATCACTGTTGAGCAGAAATTCCTCACCAAGGGCCATACCCAAATGGAGGGGGATTCAGTCCATGGCACTGTTGAGCGATCACTACAAAAAACCGCTCTGATTTACATCCCAGTGGACTACGTGAACATCATGCTCCCAGCCAGATGCATCCCCAGGCCCTATGAAGTTATGTGCCTGGACCACAACTTTCTCAAAGATTTACCAAAGGTCGGAGAGTACAAAACGATCCCAGGGAGAAAAGCAGACGATCCTACTGTCACTGACTTGCAGGCATCAAAGTACACGCCAGTCTTTAAAATTCAGTACAAACTGAAGTTTGATGATGAATGGCAGGCGCTGCAAGGACCAAAAAGCTGAACACCCTGTGTACGACAGTTACTGCCGGAACTCTGCAGAGACAGAGTGAAGTTAACTGCCAGCTTGTACAAACATCTACACGAGTTGAAGGCTGTCGTACCACAATTACTACGACCCTTTGCCTCAGTAAGAAGCTTTGAAAGCGATCAAGTCAAATTCGATTATTGTAGAGTCTTTCAAAACAAATGGTGACTTTTTGTCGTATTGCATTGTTATAGCCATAAGACACAGAGTGAGACAGACATGCTCTTCTATTGTTGAGAAAACTCAATAAAGTAGTTGTTGTCAAGCCACGCACCTTGAAGATATTTGGCGTATTCTTGGATACTTACGAAGTCTTTTTGTATGATAATAATATATTATTATGTCATCAACTTCACCCAAACCATTGCTGAGGTAGTGGAGCTTTAGTGTGGCTTTCTGCTTTCATTTCTTTCTTAGTACTACTTTTTTCCCAGGCATTTGAATGGCCACCCAGTGTCAATAGTACCACGTCAAACACGGTCATAAATTCCAAAGGCCTGCTGCTACTACTACTGTTGTGGTTGTTGTTTTTGTTGCTGTTGTAGTTGTTGTTGCTGTAGTAGCTCTCCCTTACTCTTCGAACCTCCTGTTCTTCTACTTCAAATGTAGTTAATACTAATAGACCCCTTGCTGTGTTCTACTTCTTGTACTTCTAGCAAATTTTCAACTTTGTGACTGCTGTTTTTGCCCAAATTGACTCCATAGCATAGAAATGACAGCATGGTGGCAGCCATAAAATCGTCCTCCTTTACTTCCTTCTTTTTCTTCTTCTTACTCCTCCTTTTTCTCTTTCTCCTTATCCTCCTCCTCCTCCACTTACCCCTTTTTTTCTTCTTCCTTTCCTCCTCCTCCACCTCCTCCTCCTCCACCTCCTTCTTCTTCTTCTTCTGAGGATGATGATGATGATTATACATGTAACACAAAAGATTACGACGATAGAAACAACAGATCAAAAACGTTACCAGCAAGTGCGGCTTGGTTGCACTCAAGCCCAGCAGTGGCTTCCTGATAAATCCGGCCAACCCACAAAATTGAGGGCTGGTCGGTTTTATCCCGAAAAATTTTGAGCGACATAACCGTCCAACCCACGCAGTTTAATTAAAAGCGATTTTTAAAGGAAAAAAAGGTCTACAGGTTTTCGGTAAGGTGTTTTTCAGTGCTTCCACCAGCTGAAGCTGAAGAGTAAGGAAAATTCTGCAGGGGTCCAGCAGGGTCTCCAGCGTCCCGGTGGGAGTTCAGGGGGCGAAGCCCCAGAAGAAATTGAAATTGAATGCTTTTAGAGGGTTGAGAATGGCATTTGGGAGCCTGTTTGAAGAGATTGCCTACAAACCATAACATTTCTTTTTTCCTCAACATTTTGTCTTGTTTGATTTCTTCCTCAAGATCTACATAATGTATTTCCATTGATGGCAATGTTTAAAAGCAGGTTCCCCTTCCATAGCTACTATAATTCAATTAATTTGTCATCGCACCATTGATAGAAGGCGAACCTGGGAATGATGAATAGATATGCACCTTCACAATACAGTTACCCGGCGTATACCCTAATTCTCCTTAAATTTCACGTCTGAATGTCGCAAGTCACCACCTCGGAACACCACTTCGAATTACATGTATTCTTGACTTTAGTAAGTTTTAGGCTGGTTTAAGCATTTTCATCGCGGCCCTTATCACATTCTTGTGCCATAGAATCTTCGTATTGATCATTTCTCTAGATCTAGACAAATTTGTAAAAAAGTTTCTTTCTGTTATTTTCTGTCTAAGATCACAAGTCAATTTACTTGATCAACGCGCAAATTTTCCAGCCGCGGCAACAATCCAAAGAGAGACAGACGGAATGAGCGAATGATAGTAAGGAGGAAATTGACACAAAAAGTTCGCCAAATTTTGAATAATCTGCAGGTAAAAATGTACTGTCGACCAACCCGCCTTGAATGCATGGGGCATAGCGGTATAATGGCCCATTGCAGGGAATGAGCAATCTCGCAGGTTTCTATTACATTAACTTATATTGCCGAGAGAACTACCGTAAATATCCGTAACTTAGACTAGTACAAGACGATGCGAATGCGAGTACGGATCTTTTGCTACGGAATTTCGGCAGTCCTACGCTGTCGCAGTTTTTACGGAGGGAGTTGATAAGCACTGGTTTTTATAGGTGTTGAAAGCACTGATTTATCATTAGACACCTTTGTTTTGAAATAAAACAGTTTTTTTCCTTCTCCTGTAAAATTTACAGCGCTGGGGTTAGTCGGTTTTATCACAAGGCCGACGATAATTTCCAAAACATCTCCTACTGACATGACAGCAGCAATCAAATTAAGACTCATTTCAAAGTTCACTACATTTCATCCAGACTTACTTGTTCTTTCCAACTTTCCCTGCTTTCCCAGGTTTGGACTTGGCAAACAACGAAGGGTCCAGCTCCTCTAGGTTCTTTCCTTTTGTACCGAACAAACGCTGGGCTCTCTGCTCTAGAGTACTGTTCAAAAGCAAAGTAATACAAATATAATATATACAAGTCAGAAACTGTGGAACCTAACAATGAAAATAATTGTAGATGCACAGAGACTACAAGAGATAAGACAGTGCAGTTGTATGGGTGACATATTCCACATGACTGCAAATATCGACTGCTTAGTGCAAGACCCCACCATACACCATTGTGAAAAGTGATGTGTGACAGAGTCTTACACTGAGCAGTCGATATGCATGGTTTAAAGACCTTTTTCAACACTGAAGTGGGGGGTTGGTGGGTGTTCTGGTGTGGTTTGTTTCTTTAATTTCCCCTATCAAACATCTATTGTTTTTATCTCTCCTCCTTCTTTTTTGTGTTTGTTACTCTCTTGTAACACCTCTAATTTTCAGCACTTTTATGACTTAATTGTATCACAAGTGCCATAAAACGCTTAGTAAAAGAAACAAATCAACACTGAGAGTTTATTTAAGAGGCATGAGTGACCTGAACATTCAACATCATTCTCTGATAGGACCTAGTCAAGTAAGTGGAGAGCCTTTAAATAAATTGAAAAGTCACCCAAAAAATCATAAGTTCAAGAATGCCCAGTTGGGAACAACTCAAACCAAGGCTATCCACACTACGGACCTGCATGATATCAACTGAGCTAATGGCAAGCGTAACTCACGACATACAGAAAAAATACACTAAAGTAACTCTAAAGTACTCACCCTCCACATTTCACACCCAAAGCCATCAAAGCAGATTTCAGACGATCCAGTCCTAAAGACGCCAGTTCCTGAAATTGATACCAAGAAAAAAAAAGGGAAACTGTCACTTATTTTCTCGATTATTTTTGTAAGACCTGTTATGTTTCGAAATATCTGAGTGGCACTAATACACCGTCATCATTTCAAAAGGTACAACCTGCCCAACTATGCATTATTGTCTTCCAAAATTACAACTGTCCGTACTATATCACTTGAGGTTTCTATAAGAGGAATATTTTTAAAGTCTCAAGATGAGTTAGAGTAAGTAAAAAAAAAAAAAAGCACCTTTCCACACATACATTGTTGTGGCTTTTCAAAAGCATCACTACCCCCCCCCCCCCCCTCCCCTTTCTGCTTTAGCTATAAGATGAGATGCAGTACACTGTGATCAGAATGAAAAAATGTACTTTTTGCAAGGTGCAGGCTCAGACTAATAAACACAGAAAAGAAGAAAAGAATAAGATGCAGACTACGCGGTAGCAGCAGTGTACATCTAAGAACAGATAAATAGATCGATTGATTGAAAATGTTTTACACTCCCATTGAAAAAGTGTAGATCATTCATGAAGTGGGCTGCGTCCACCCCAGCTGTCAAACCAACCTGGACTGAGTAGGATACAGCATCTCAGCATAAAGATGGGGACACACAATAAAACTTATTTCCCTCAGCAGGAATCGAATTCATGGCTTTTGACACAACTACCACAGACTTAACTGTCACCACAAGGAAGCAAGTACAGGAACACAGGACATGAGACTAAAATGGTATGAGTAATCTGCACCAATTATCACTTGCTCAGTGTAAGACTCCATAATACGTAACTTTTAAAAATGGCATATGGCTTTCTCACACTAAGCAGTAGATATGACTTACCTCTGGGGAGGAGAAAGCAGACAGGTCAAGATGAGCTCCGGAATGGGTCAAAGCACCAGTTGCTTCTTTCTGAAAATAAATTACAAAGAATCCTCTAGTGATAGTGATTTTAAAAAAAATATGTGACTGCTGCAAGAACAGACTCTTTTTCCCCACATGCAAAAGCTTCAATTGGCCAATAAATAAATGAAACAAACATAAAAGCATAAAAGCTAGAAAAAGTTAACTTTATCAATATATTTGGCAACTGTCATCATCATCATCAATGCCTTTCACCCCTGGCAGGGAATAGGCCACATACAAGCTCCTTCCATTTATCTCTGTCCTGGCCAATCCTTCCAAGCTAGTTCAAAGTGAGCTTCATCTCTCTCATGTCCTTTTCCACAAATCTCCATGTTTCCCGTGGCCTACCCCTGCCTCCTGCTCTCTGTGGGTTCCACTGCAGTGACTGTCTTGTGATGTGTCCACTGGGCTTTCTGAAGGTGTGTCCGTCCATTGCCACTTTCTTAGTCCTATTTCTATATCCTCTTGTCCTGTCCTCTCCCACAGCTATTCATTTCTTATTCTATCCTGCCACTTAATTCTTAGGATACTTGGGCAACTGTGCCAATGCATTACATAAATCAGAAAGATATGCCAAGGACCTTAATAACAAATTGAATAGTTGGTGTAAGACTCCGTCATATATCATTTTACAAAATGGCGTATGGCAGAGTCTTACACTATACAGTGGAAATGTTTTTTTCTTGGAAATGACTTCTTTCTGTAATGCAGTTCCAGCCCAGGGGGGATGATGTAGAGCTTACATATTCCTCTTTGTCATACAATCATGCAGATCAGAGCCATAGGAGTTGACAAGACTATTAACACTTGGCCCCCCATCGGACGCTGATCAATCTCCTTTTTGACATACGCATTTGTTTAAGTTAAATTTCCTTTCTGAATGGTTTGTGTGGCCTTTGAGGTCGAAAATCAGTTTGTATTAACAATTCGGAGTAAATTTTTTTTTTTTACGTTGAGTAGACCTAGCATGAGTGCTGCTTTACTCTTAGGCCAGAATGAGAATTCGGGTAATAAATGAGCTAGATCTAATGTTTTCAGTTCCAATTCTAATTTCTTTTTTGGTGGACATGCGATCATCACTTTTAATGTCCTCCGAGAACAGGAACAGCACAGAATGTAGCCTTTCTGCTTAATGGTCCAGGGGGACAAGTGTTGTGTGCTCTGCTTTTTGCTTAATGGTCCAGGGGGACAAGTGTTGTGCGCTCTGCACGCTGCTTTCTGCTTAATGGTCCAGGGGGACAAGTGTTGTGCGCTCTGCACGCTGCTTTCTGCTTAATGGTCCAGGGGGACAAGTGTTGTGCGCTCTGCACGCTGCT